AATGCCTTTGAAGATTCGATTTGTGTGGCGTTAGTCCACATGTTTGAGGCGTGGGGACCATTAGCCGTATTATTAGTTTACTATCGTCCAAATCAGCTGTCTTATATCACCCTGATGTTCGGTTATATTCGGTAAGATCCGTTCGTTAACTCATGTCTTCAGAGAGTTATATTTATCGTACCGTTTCTTCCCTATGATATTTTCCAGTTTGAGTTTACTAGCCTGAAAGGAGATATATTGGCCCGACTTGAACATGGATCGTAAGATCGTATCTCACATGGTTCGTTAATCACGTTATTATACTGCTTCATACCTTCAGATCATCGCTTCTGTAAATCAATTTTTAAGATGTATTACTGAAGCTCATTGTATTGTAGCTAATGAGCTTAAATCAAAAGTATTTTTGTTTAAATTTCAGTAGAATGGGCAAAAGTCGAAGCTCTCTGTCGCTGTCTTCTTGTGGTATAATACAACATGTGTGAGTTTCGTTAGAGCATGGCATGCACCGGGTAACTACTAGAAAGATAGATAGAAATAAATTGAGATTTGCACCGCGACTTAAGGTCTATTGTGCCCTCCCTACTTTCACAACGAAAACTTAGGCCCAGCACACTGAAAAATTCCAGTATCCTGCTGGGTGCTATTGAGGCGAAGTAATCTCAAAGAGTTCCAGTCTTACCATCCTGAAAGCAGCTGCAGAGCAGGCAAGCTCGTCAGTCGGTTCAATTCCGGCTACCCCTTGTAGTTTGGCACCCAGATGAGGTGCACTCCTACAGCATTAGCGATGTAATCTCGTAAGCGCAGATCGATTTAAGAGACGCTTGACTATAGCATGGTATCATTGCTATACTTGCGTTGGATATTTATCTTTACACATATATCTTTAGATTTTATTACGTACTTCCTGTCTTCAAAAAGATACATGTGGAAAATATAAATGTATACTTTTCACGACTGCGCGGGAAAGACAACAAGTCGAGCATTTAGTAATTGAGGCTGTGTTGATGTGGTTTAATTGCCGTGTAGATTGATCTTCAACGTTCAATGACACTCCGCGACAAGTGGTTTTAGTTGAGAATAAATTTGAAGCTGTCGCTGAGTTTTTCTTCACTCTAATGGCCCTTCGTCAGTCATTTTCAAACCTCGAGTTTATTGCAACTCTGAAACGCTCACGACGAAAGTTTTCCGATCATTCGGTATTCGCTTAAAGCTTTTGCGAAGTATTAACAATCCTATTTATTATTACATTGTTTCTCGCTGCTTTAGCCTACTGTGCCGTGGTGAGAGTTCAAGGTGTTATTAATAAAAAATTCACACAATTCAACAGCAATGTAAATTGTGCAAAATTAAAATTGAAAACGTAATCATCATTCAACGGAAGCGTAACCGGAAGAATCCTAACAAATTCGCTGTGGTGGAAGAACAATATCGGCTTAAAGCAATACATACTTTATGCGCGAAGCATGTTCATACTAAATACCTAAATTGCATGCTGTGTTGTCTTGTTGTGCTTAAACAAATATCGTAAAACAAATAAGTAGCTGGCGTTGCAACAATCAAAACGAACCCTATGCCAGACCCCATCCCTTTTCCATATCACACAATGCTAGCAAAACAATACCTGTCCTATTTACATAACGCCCTGTTGTGCTGGCAACACCATTAAGGCTAATAATGGCTGTTCGTTCTTAAATATTGTGGCTAATTTAATTCGGTTCCTTCACATTTGTGCAGTTATGTTAATGGAAGCTCGAAATTGGATAGTAATGAAGAATTATTGCAACTACTCACTGAGCTCACGGGGTGTGCTCTTTGAGCTGCTCACTTAGCGTTGGAGTGTCTGTGGTCAGCGTGGCGCGGTGAGTGAGTGTTTCACTCGAGCTGTTTATGTTTTTGAATTGATTCTGACAAGTGTGGGAGTAGTTAATGGTAGGAGTAAACGTTTTAGACTTTATTTCAAATATACTAAATATTTAAAAAATATCCGACTTGACTTAAGATTTGGGATGACGCTAGTTGAAGAGTGAAAAAACATGTCTCACGATAGATTGCTCGGAGTTTCATTCGATAAATCCATTTCGAAAATATTTCTAATCATAAGAACACAAAACATACTTCAAAATGGTTTGGGTCGAGCCAAACGATAATCAAGCACTCCATTTGTCAATTGACGATGTGCAAGCACCAACACTTTGAAGTTGTGGACGTGGCACTCTTCGATAGAGCTTGATGTTCGTCAAGAGCGCGATTCGTCTTTAACTCGTTCTCAGTTCGCTTTCAACTCGTTGTACCACTTATAAACGTTTTTTGGTGCAAAGTTTCATCACCAAAGGCCTTTCGCATCATTTTAATGTATCCTCATATAGCTCATATTCGTATTGCAAACAAAATGTGATGCAAGTTCTATGCTCAACAAAATCATCCATTGTAAGAATGGAAAATTTCACTTTTGGTTGTTTACAAAAACACGTGTAACTCGGTGTTGGAAAACAGACAGACTTCGCAAATGTTACAATTCACATAATTTTTTAATCCATTCTACAGTAGACAATCATTCCCCGCTTAGATATATAATTTTAATTTTTAAAGTAGTGTTTATTAGACAAAAGAATATGTTCATATGTTGAGATGAAAGCTTTTACTTGTTAGACCAAAGTATAGCGAATTATTGTGGAACCGGTGGTGAACTCTTGAGTAGCTCAATAAGCCACTGATGATTTTCCATCTTTCCTTCCAAATAAACAAATATCCAAAAAATTACTAAACGCGCAGTAGTTTGTAGAGCGATACGGATGAATATTTGCATAAATATGTGCTAAAAAAATCTCCGTCACTTTTCGGTCTTCAAGACTATACCGGAAAAATATTATTCCGACTGTTTCGAGGACTGGAAAAAGTGTGTTTTATCGGACGCGGATTACTTCAAAGAGGATGAAATTGATTTAGAAGAACTTTAAGAACTTACATTTTTTAAATGAATTCATCTCAACTTTTGATCACATACTACATATACATATATATTTTATATTTCTCCTAACTTTTTCTTTTTCCTTCCCTGACTCGGAAGTAAAATACCGATTCTGATTTCCACAATGTTTACTTTTATCTGTCTTAATGAATTTTACTATACAACCAATGGCCGAATTATTGGCCCAATCTCTTCTTGAGTAGGAAGAAAGTTCTCTCTTCTCTGTATTATATACGTTGCAAGTCTCGAGCTCTTAATCTTATACACCTGATCGTTAGAATTTATGGACTTTCTGGATGGATAATAATCTATCATACCTCGGACAATAACCTATATCGAATTTCGTGAAGATATTTGTTTAAATAAAAAGTTTTCCATATAAGGGCATGATTTTGATCCGTCAAATTAAATGGTAGCAATATTGTTAAGTCTCCGATCTGAACTGTACAATCGATTGAGTTTTTCGGATCGATATTTCAAAAACTGAGGGACTAATTCGCTTCTATTCAGACATACAGATAGATAAATCGATTTAACTGGTCACTCTGATCATTTATATACATACTTGTATATACCTTATAGGGCCTCCGATGTTTTTCTCTGAGTGTTACAAACTTCCTGGCAAGCTTAATAGGTATACACTGTTCAGGGTTTAGTGAGCAATATCATATATGGGGTCTCAAAAATATTATATAATATTATATTAACATACTCGTTAACAGATTTAAAAATATTTCGTAAATCGTTTATCACATGAAATTGTTCGAACTTTTCGCGTTTCACAATCATTATTTTCCCGAGAGTCCTTACCATAGTCCTCCACTGCTTGTTGAAATTTCTCAAAATAAAATATTTTAAATCTAATTAGATTCATATTTTTATATATTTTACAAAGCACTCATGGCTAAGTATAAACACACACATTGCTTTGAGCCTCACAGCAATTTATTGCATTAAGTTGCTATGCTTGCATTTTTATTTTGAATTTTTTAAACTTTTTCTTTTCATTCTTATTGATTCAAATACCATCTAACGCGATTAACTTTGTCTATTTCACACTTATGACTCCACCCTTCGGCCATTAAATTGTCTACTTTGTCGTCTCACAGCTATTAAGCTGTCTGGCTTTCTTAATTATTAGTCTAAATTATCAAGCGAAATCAGACAAACAACAAAATGAAAAGGAAAATATAAAAAATAAATAAATTAGATCTCAAAAATGCTTTCTTTAATTGCGGCTCTGATTTCATTGGCAGCAGTTTATATTACAAGCGCCTGTCCTTCGAAATTCAATTACAAGTCAATTATAAAATGCTCTCACTTAAGGCAGTTCAACGTCCATGTCCAAATTCATAAATTGTCCCAATTTGTTTACAAACAATTTATTTTTATTATTTCCTTTTGGCCATTTCTTATTCAATCTCAAGTTACCACAATTTTATTTTTATTGTCTTCAGCAACCGTGATATCGCCGTGAGCCTTTGGTAGCTTCGATTGTTCTCCACTCATTTACCGAGATTATTGACATTGTTTTGTTAATTTGAGGTTAATTTTGTAGTAATTAATGTGTTTTTGTCATATTTAGTGGATATTTTTTTATTGTTGATTGAAAGGCATCGCAATGATTGGCGGTCATTTGTCTCTTTTAATTACCTTGAGCTGAGGGTTGGTCAACTAGATTTAGGTTGATGTGCCCGTTATATTTGTTTAAAAAATATTACAAGCTGAGGTGCAAAGAAGTTTGGTGTGTTAACTATATATAGATATATAGATATATCTGAAAAAGTAAAAATAAGTCGTCTATATATATACTTAGATATAGTACAACCATCAAAGCTAAAATAATTTGAGAAAACAAATTGTTTTCAACTATTTTCTGCTTAAACCCGGATAAAACTACAACCTTGCTTACTATTCTACCAATTTCTTGTTTCCAGGTTTTCTTATGTATATTTTAATTTCATTCCAACTTGCTGTACTTTTATCCTGTCAATGCCTGTATAATCAATACTTTTACTCTCTTCTCTTCCAGATCCCCATACTGGGCGCCAACACGCTGCTGCAAACTTGCTCCGCACAACCGTTTAGCAATTCATCATCGTTTTTCGTGAAGGTTGTGTCGAATATTGGGCTCATCGTCACAGCGCTGGTCGCGCTGGGATTCACTGTTTGGTGTAAGTTTCACTACTGCCCGGTTCGGCGAACACTATACTCAGTTACACACACACATACTTAGTCACTTACTTAGCGTTTATACGCCTTTTTCGTTTTAGTAGCAGAAGTTCAGGGCTTTCTTTGGGAACTTTGGGTTTAAGTTTCAGTTTTTCTTCCACCTACTTGTAGCTAAATTATTTTACATTTTCCATTAAACGTTGTTCTGCGGCGTTTGTGGTGCGGCAGCGAGTGCAAAGTTTTAGAAATTGGCACTTTAGTAATAAATTAGTTTCAAAAGAAATATGTACTTGTATATGTTGAGTAGTACTTTTGTATATGTTATAGATATATCCTTGTGACTACAGATATTGTATGGTGTTTTATGTAAGTCAATTGTCTTTGGGAGTTTCTAATATGCGACTTAGAACTTTAATAACATGGCTCATAACGTTTACAACACGGCTTAAAATGCGTAAAACATGACTTAGAACTTACAAAACACGGCTTATAACTTATAGAACATGATTCAGATGTCAAAATCTGGGCTTAGAATTTATAAAACAGCTAGAGAGCTTTTAGAACACGGTTTTTAACTTCTATAACGTTACATAGGACTATAGACATAACGCAAAAGTAAGAGATTTCGCAAACCACCTTGACTTGGTATAAGCGCCAAAATATTACTTTCACTTTAATCTGAATTTATTCCTTAAAATATGGTTCTTTTTTGCTAATAATGCCATTCGCTCTGTGTATCCGACACGTATTGACCGTCTCAATTGGCTTTGGTTTACTAGCACGTTAAGCACAAAAATATTCAATAGTAATATTGATTAAAATTATACCTACGTATTAACTACTATTATACGCTAATTTGTACAATATCTGTTCGAAATAATTTCGAAGTTTTCAAAACCGTTTTATTATTTTAGCTAAAAGTTCAGGGTTTGCCATATTTTCCGGCGCTCGCCGAAGTTGCTGGCTTATATATTTTTGTTGTTGCAGCTTATCACCTGACATTGAATGTGGGGCATATGCTTACCTCTATCCAGTTTCGAACGTGTAATTTCTGTTTTGTTGTATTTGTTTTTGCTTTGAATGCGACCGCCATCAAAACACTTAGCGCCACCAGAAATGCGTGTCGTAGGTAAATTGAACCAACTGTCGATAAGCATTTTGACAGTCCAAAGCTTTACTGTTATTATCAGTAGTGGTCGCAGACTTAGTGGCATCCAACAGCCTGCTGGCTGTCGACATTTTAAGCTACCCAAAAATTGCAACTTACTCGTGCGAGTATTAGTGCTGTGCGGCAATGACTGTGGATAGCTAAAAGAAGAGGTAAGAGGAATAGTATGAAGAGCAACCAACAAAGCGACGCGTGGTGGGCGTAACTGCTGGTTGGTGGGCAATAGATAGTCAACTGTGCATTGCCGACTGCCACGAGACCACTTTATCGCCGCTGCTCTCGTTAGTTATTCCGTTGTTGTTGTTTTTTTTTACCTTAACACTTTGGCTTTGGCAGCGTAACCAATTAACTTGGCGCTTGTAGTGCTCAAGTACATAACGAGATTCTATGTTTTCCCATACTCCGCGCTGTTTTTGCATTTTAAATATTAGTGTCACTACAAACATATATGTGTGCGTGTGTGAGTAATGTACACGACACAACACAACATAGCATTTGAGCGAACTAAATTTATGGCATCACAAACGCATATACCGGCAGCCGTACAGTTAAGCTCACAGAACCGCCATGTAAGCTCAGTCCAAAAATATTTCCTAAAACTGATAAACAACTTTGTCATGTTGACGCCCCAACGAACAGGCACAAAACAATACACAGGACATGGAAACGCACCGGCAGCGCCAACACAATAGTTGGGTCTCTTGTGCGCTTCGTTTACGCTTCTGGTGTACACCTGTGGCTGCAGCAGCCGGGATTTCAACATCTCTCCACTAAATCCAGTTGTAGCAACAAACATGTGTCTTCTTTCTCAATGGCGTGGACATTTTCGGTCAAATGCTATCACAGTGTGTTTTTGTCTCTGGGAGTTTGGTGTTTAGTGGCGACTTTTTCTTTCGCTGGATAGTTTAATGAGGAGCTCTTTATAAAACAATGATCTCACGACTCTAATATTTTAGCCATGAACGTGCACGTTTCGTGAAATGTTGTTGAGGAGTCTGTTCTTGGCCGTTTATAAATCTAGATGCGTTCCAATTATATGGACACTGTTGTGTGATAAGGCCCGTTCCTAATTGAATAATAGCTCAGTTTTAGTTATAATTTGTAATTTTCGGACATATTGATCCTACTCCAGAACTCTATGGGATATATTGATGCCGTCATAGCATTAGAGCTCAATGGTCGTTCAAGGCTGCTACATGTCTTTTTTTGATTTTCACTCTTAAAGTCACTTAAGATTATTGCTAGTGGTTCTTTCTGCCCACGGATATATCTATTTCACCTATACTGAGATATAATAGATCCGGCGAGAATTCACTTATGATGGCCTGCAAAGTTCCTTATTGCTAAAATATTGACGCTTCTATCGTAAGTAGTGTTAAATTAATGTGTTATTCCCCTATCTTCTTGTTTTGTTACAATAACTCCATGAAGTGTTGGCGCTCTCTCGCTGCTTCAAGTTATTTGAAAGGAAGACGATTTACTTTGGCTCTAACGGGGTGTTATTTGGAATTACCGACTAATCTGATCGGCAGGTTAATTTTTAGGACACTTATTAGATAGCAGAACCTGCGTTAATAGCAGATACCGCTATAGTCCGCCCACACAATGGTTCTTGAGCTGTTTGTTAGGAAAGGTCAAAACATCGAACATGTACAAATACAAACTAACCATTTGGTGATAGCATAAGTTCCCTATAGTTGTTCTCAGAAATCGACCAAAGTTCCGTGCCTACTGAGCTGATTTAGTTGGCACCATCTATATCCCCCCTTAGTATGTCTAAATCAACATAGTTTAGCTTTTAATTTTAGAAGATTAGACAGTAGTGTTAACTAATCATTTGATTCCGAGTGGTCTATGAGATGGGGTCAATATGTGACAGAACGTCTTTAGAAACATGAGAGTCGATGTTTGTCGGAGTGGTTTGAAAACTATTATTGTTCTTGAAACAAGTATTAGAGATAGCTGGAAACTGTGAAGTACAGTTGATGAATCACATCAGGCCCACTGTATCTACTTCCCTGGAAACACCGCTGCAACAAATATACTATACTTTGACAACGAACAGCTTGTTGTTTGGGTTCACCAAAGCTTTTTTGTTCAAATTTAGTTACGCTTGATGTGTTTTCGTTTTTCGACGCCATTTGCTATTCTTTTTTATATCCTGAACAGGGTATATTAAATTGGCCACGATGTTTATAACAACCAAAAGGAAACGTGGAGACCTTATAAAGTATATGTATGTATAAATGAATAGCGGGATGAGCTGTGTCGATTTAGCCATGCCCGTCTGTTCGCTGACTGACCGATCAAAATCAAGAAAAATATATTTTTGCATGTTACAAAAAATGCACCTGCGAAAGGTATGAATATTTTCTCGTTTTGTTTTGCACCAATTTCGTATTGTTTGTTTTGCGTTTCAAATTTCATTGCAATTTGTTTGTTTCTTTATTTGTTAGCCACCTCCTCATAAAGCTCGCGCCAACACTTCGCTAAATTTGGTCTTTACTTTTACGTTTTTTTTACAGACACTGAAAAATACCAGCATATGTTTACTTTCTATATCCTTGTTATTTTCTGGGTTGATTAATTGCATTTCCTATTCTTACACACACACTTACTTTTCTCACCGTCTCTCTCTCTCCTTCTCGTTGCAGTGTATGTATTCCTGAGTCCACAGCAGAGCTCAACGGAAATCAACGCTGACGGTAAGTTTAATTAATAATTTTCAATGGTGGTTTCCACTTGTGGCTGCCTCTTCGGTTAGCTGGCTAAACTTGTGCTTGTGCGCTCCAATCCGAGCAGATTTTTGCCAGCTACCATAAACATTTTGTCAGATTTGTTTAGATATATTAGTCTCGGTAATGCAATACAGCAACACCTTCGTTGTTGTTGTTAGTGTTCTCATGTGTTCCGATTTATTTTAAATCAATTAAAAAAGGCTTCGTTCAATGCGGTGATTTCGTTCGAAAGGTTTGGAAAGTTTCAAAATGTATATTGAAGAATATTGAGTTTTTTGCGCTTCACTGCTGCAAATTATTTGCAAAATATTAATTAGTGGCGTGTTGCTCTTCAAGTGCGCTTGAATTGTTTTAAATTATAATTTGAGTAATCACATTAACTATCTTTTATATATATGTGAAGGAGTCTAAAAAGGACTTACCGAGCCAGAAATATTTAGATCTCATCTAATAATTAACATTAACACTTACCTTGACCATTTACAGTAAATCCTGGGTCTCAAACCATTTCTTAGCGCACCTAACGGTTGTTTGTATTACTTAAAACTAATCGAGATAGCTATGAAGTTATATATGTATATAGTATAAAAATTATCATATCTGTCCGTTCGTTCGTTTTAAAAATTACTAGTATTATATTATAAAGGTATACAGAAAAAGAGAATATGACAATATCCCTCTATTACTTTCTTGTGTTTCTTTTGTGCTATGAGTTTCAAAAAACCCGTCTCTTTCGTGCATGACGCATCGTGTGTTATCCTTAGGTTCACGGGGATAAGAGCTAATAGTTGTGGTTTAGCTCGTTCTAACTTATTTGTTTTTTAGTTCGGAGATAAATCAAAAGTCACTCGTTTCTGAGTGGCAGTTCTGAAAAATCTTGAAATAACTTCTCAAATGTTATCATTGTCAATATATTTTACAATATTTTTAGTAAATAGGTCTATATAGTCTGAGCACCAAAGAAACAGTATATTTATAAAAATTTAAAATTTTTGTCTTATAATCTTCGAAGTAAGTTATTTATTACTTGATTCATTAAATAATATTTAATGCAATATTTATTGGACCACTTCCACAGGTTAAGGAACAAGATAAGTGCTTTTTGTCATGAAAGTTTGGAGTTCCTTGTCTTTTCCGACACCCCAAGCCCGTTCGCGTCTCTTAAGAGATTCACCGTTTTTTCTAGTATGCTACACACTTGTATGAAACCTCCAAAATCTCCTCTCCTTTTGTACCATATGTATTTTATAAATGTTTCCTACGTGAAAAGTCCCTTTAGTCATTCTGTATTCGTATAGTAACCAGTTACGTATGAAAATTCTTGAAACTGGATCGCCCTCCTATTCGTTAAGTTTTATTCTAGTTTCAAGGACTGCTTTCACAATTTTTAATAATTGCCGAAATTTCAGCTTGACACGGATAAATTGGACGTTGTAATTGCACTCTTCATAATACTTCTTCTCAAACTGCTCTCATATAGCTAACAGCATTATTACGTAAGCTCTCCAGCTCCCTCATTAGTCACAATTATAAAGACGCGCTCCGCAATCGCACGCAAGGCTTGCGCTAATAGTTATCTTCCAAACTATTTATTATCACTTTTGAATTTGAAAAGCGATCACAAAAACATTATTTAATTAATGACCTTTAACGAAAATTGCATCCGCTGTCGCTTCATTAAGAGGGCGCTAAGAACTGCGACCCGTGAAGGCGGAGCCGTTGGGTGGTCTTAACTGCATTACCTGTCCGGTGTAATTTATTGTATTTATTGGACACATGGCGTGCCCGGGGCCCAACAACGACGAACAAAACTAATTCACTTGGCTGTTGTTGTTGCTGCGTACAAATTGTTAACGATAAAGCACGAGCTACACCGGCGCTGGATAAACGGCTTGACAAACTATGCAAACGTTAGATTTTGTCGCTCTTGTGTGGATTGTATTATAGTTTGTTTACTGATTATAGTATATTGATATCCCTCGCCGTTGACGGTTCGTTATAGTTCCTACTGCTTATACAACTGAATATTTATTTATTTAAACAGTAAGCAACAACAACGACGGTATAATAAAGCTGTCTGGCAAATATGAACTGTTACTAATACCGCTAATCTACAACAACAATAAAGAGCTACGTCCCATTTTTTATACCATCGCAAGACGTTGCATAGAGTAATATATTTATCTCGACTATTTTAGGTTAAACGTGTTGGGTCTTAACTATATTCGTGCGGCTTGCCAAGAGACGGCGTAACTTGATTATTATTACGTTGTTCCAATATTCGTAACATGCGTTGGAAAGCTCCCTGTCCTGTCCTTGTGCGTCTTTTTCAGGATATGTCATTCATTTGAAGCGTAAGCAACAATAATTTGTTTTCACTCAAATATGTCGAATTTTGTGCCTGAAAAAGTGTTTTTGAGGGGAGGTCTTCTTTATTACTTTAATATGAAGAAAACTTGAGCCGAAAGTCATCGTATTTTGGTGAAAGTTTATGGTGAACATGCTCTAGCTGAGCAAGAGTACCAAAAGTGATTTGTGTGATTTAAAAATGTCTGATTTTGTCTTCGAATATGAAGAACGACCGAATCTGTTAAAAACGTTTAAATATGAGAAACTGGAAGCATAGCTCGATGAAAGTTGCTTCTAGAATCGGGTGAAACCATTAATGGAGAACGCTGCCGACAGCAAGTCATGAAGTTGAAGTGAACGGTTGCCGAAAAATGCCCGGAATTTGCTACTAAGCACAAGGCAATAATTTTCCATCGTGACATCATCCTGCAACACCGGTTACAACACTATTTGGAAAACAGCGACTGGGAAGACGTGTCTCACGGCCCAGACCTTGCCCCTTCGGACTACCATTTGTTCCGGTCGATGCAGAACGACCTCACTGGAATACGGTTTACATCAGAAAGAAGTTGGGGAAAATGTTATAGCTTCAGATGGGCAATACTTTGAATAGAACATGTTTTTTTAAATAAACGTTAAAATTTTGAGAGAATACACGCGAATATAGTTATATACCCATTCGGTTTTGAGTAATGGGCTAACACTGCCCACTTGCGCTTGAAAATTCATATTTCTTAAGCAAATTGACCGATGTGGTATACATTAAGTAGACTATATCAGCATGGTGTCCTCTCAACGCGAGTTAAAAGTGACAGAATTGGACCAAACCACGCCTACTTTTCATAAACCGTCATTTTGCACCGCCTGAGTTCTTTTGACCTTACAACATTTTGGTTGGCATCAATAAACACGACTGGCACATATCACTGATTGTAGCGACTCTCTCCCAAAAAATGGACAAAACCGGTCGATGTTTATTTCACAACGAATATAATGAATTTCGTCTACTTTAATAAAATGAAGTGACTTATCATGTGGCGATTTGGATCAAAAATATATGGAATTATGTCTCATATTTCTCTAGCTCCTTGGAAGTTTCTTTTGGTTTTTATGAAAGTTCTGAAAAATTTTTAGAATTATCTGCCGATACAAATCCGCAATAATTACGAAATTATTCCGCACTTTCGCCCGAGCTTAGCCCTTCCTTACTTGTTTTTGTTGCTGTAATTATCGCCTGCTTAGTAGCTTCTTAGTTTTTGTTTAGCTTCAATTTCCTTGTTGTTGGTTTTGCTGTTTGTTTTTATGCCGCCAGTCTTGGGCCAACATCGTAAATATTCACATGGCGTCAAGTGTCACTTTATCTCGATGATTAATTTCCAATTCAATGCTAGACTCTCTGAAAGGCGCATTAGCATGAGTGGTAGCAGTGTTGGTGGTGGAGGTGTTGTTGGTGAGGCAGCTCTTCTAAGGACGAATGTCAGTTGCTTGCTTAGCAGTAGTTGCTTTTGTTATACCGTTATAGTGTAGGGTTTGTGCGGCAGATAGGACTCTGCCGCTTGTCCTTTGCCTGCGTCTGTTACACACACGGACAGGGGGCAGAAATGCAGGCGGAAAGTTTGCGAAATTAAGGTGTGCTAATGAATTTGTCGTAATTTGGTGGGCAAAGCGGAGAGTGTTGTAGTTGTACTTAGACGGTCGTCGCTCGAAATTGCCAAGAAACCACTTACCTATCTGATGGAGGTGGCTTTAAAAGTTCATTTTCTAGATGTTGGCACAGAAAATTTGGCTTTCCAAGCGCGCAGGGGTGTGTATGTTTGCGAGTGTATGCGTGTGTGTTGTACAAATTAATTTTTCAAAGTAATTAGATTGTGTTAAAAGCACATTTTAACGCTATAAGTGCAGATTGGTTTCACAGTGTAAAACAAACAAAATAAAGTTCGAGATTGAGAGGAAATCAAAATTCAATTGAGCTCAACGTTAAAGTTGATAACGCGGCATTATATAATATTATATTAACCAAGTTGTTGTCTCTAAGTAGGCCGACGAAGTTTGACTGAAATGCAAAATAGTTTTGGCTCGGTTGCTTATGTGTTTACACCGTTCGCCAACCGAAAATCTAAAGATATAAATTTGTGACGTGTTAAGACCTTCACATGTTGTGGGTATAAATTAGTATTGTACCTATCTCTGATCAGTTGAGCTTTACTCTAAAGAAAGTAAATTTTTATGTTTTATATTGTAAATTCTTGCCTGTAAAATAGCCTTCTTTCGATTCAAGTCAAGCATTTGTATGATTTAAACTATTTTCCTTACCTTTTTAAAGGCTTTTTGTTCCCAAATTCATTTTTATACCCTCAATAGGGGATATTAAGTTTGTTACGAAGTTTGTAGCACACGGAACGTAACTTCAGAGACCCTATAAAGTATATACGTAACAAGAAAGGATGTTCTAAGTTCGGGTGTAGCCGAACATTTTATACTCTCGCAACTGGCAAGGAGCAAAGCCCGGGAAATTACTTCAGGTGTTGGCAAAATTTTATATTAAAGGAAGTATTGATCCAATTCACCCAATTTTTGACACAAAGACATACTATTATCGAAAGTTTCATTTATTTGTT